GAGTCTCATAACGTGACACGTGTAGCAATTGCCAATGTCATTTGCAAGCCAGTTATAGGCCAGCGTCATGTCAACCTCGCCTTGTCCTAGTCTGCTAATCTCCTTTAGCTTTTTGCAAAAGAATCGACGTTCTTGAGAACGACTATTTCGTTGTCAGCAAGGGCGTTAAGCTGGAATGCAGGTGAGTACTGTTTCCGTAGCTTGCTATGTTCCTCTAGATCTCTGACCGTAACTATGTTGGAATGCGTAGAGCGCCTATCGTGGTACAATGCGACCTTGGGAAATGGGGGACGACCACTGCTCGGGCGGCCATAGATGACACGAAAGGCCTCTGCATTCATAAATATTAGCTCATTCGGCCCTGTTCTAACTATGTCGCCATATTCCTTGTGTAATGCCTGCAGTTTGTATGGAAGTCTGCCGCTCGCGTAGTAATGAACAATCCAGAGCTACACAGGAGCGCTGCTAGTCAGAAAGCGTCGTAGGACAACAGAACATATTCATGGGATTACCTGACTACATGCTGCAAGTTTGGGCCCAGGAAAGTGTGCCAGCGGGTGAAGTGTCAATCTATATAAGGCCGTAGTGAAGTAGATAATAGCAGCCTGTATATGATTAGAGCAGTCATACAAATATATTTAGGGAACTTACAGAAGCAAGAAATATGCAGCCGGATGTGGTAGCTAGCCACAAGAGGCTTTGGATACCGAGAGACATACGGCACAGTCTGGTGTCGCAAGTTATTGGGATTCAGGTAGCTATGAAAGAAGACGCCAGATTGACAATGCAAAAATAGTTATCTTTTTTGGCTCCCTTTGGGGAGGATCGGGCATATTAAGTTCTCAACTTGATGTGACAAAAGGATCAAGTGCAGCTGCGTTGACTCCGTTTTGACCGAGCCATGAATGCTCGGAACGAAGGACTCTGATTTGGTAGAGAAGCTCCTCTGCTCCAGGGGGCTGACTCCACAAAAATTTACTTCATTAACAAGTTGACACGTCAACACCGTCCGCTGATGGTAATCGATGCAGTTGATTCCGCATACTCGCGCCTGGACCGGGGCTATTCGCAAGTTGGATATATTCGTGACTGGCCCGGCATATATGGCCCGTGTTAACTGAAAGAACGCGTTCTGTTGCTAAGCAATTATACCCACTTATATCGTGAGACAGCCTGGAACATATATTTCTCTGGACTCAAAGGTGCCCTCTGTCCGGCCGTCAGGTGACTACTGTTATTGTCCTTCGCCTCGATATCGGCTCTGCTTGTCTCGACCAGCCGCTTGACCGCAGCAATGTGACCGTTCCGGGCGGCTAGCGAAAGCGGCATCCGATCGCTATTATCCTCCGAATGAAGACGAAATCTGCCTTTCTCTACTAGCAGCTTCAGCATAGTCTCCTGTCCGTTTTGCGGCAGCCTACGAAAGCAGCAACTAACAATTATTATCCTTTGACTTAATTTAATAATTGATGTCTCTAGTAGCACCTTAAAAACAGCCACACATCTGTTTGCAGTAAACTATAAAAAGTGGCGCCTAAGTATACTTGCCCTTCCTTGATAATAGAACTCTTCTCGAGTATTGTCTAGCGATAGTTTTGCGCTCATTTATAGCAGCTCACGAAAGCAGCATCTAAGTATGATGATTCCTTAACTTAATTTAATTATTCTTGCCTCTAGTAGCACCCTATTAACAGCCTCGTGCCCGTTTGCAGCAGCTCATGAAAGCAGCGTTTGCCTATTGCTATGCTTCAACTTAAAATTAGCTTTATCTAATGCAAGGAGAAAAGCAATACCTGTTACTCTATTAACATCCCCTATAAAGTATACAAAGATGTCTTGAGATGACAATAAATTAAAATTTCACCAAGCAGGGCACTCACAAGATGGAACATATGCAGGCGCAAGCGAAGCGGACAGACCTCACAAGGTGGCGTTTACGAGACAACGACAGTCGTCACACTTGGCACTATCTCGACAATGACGCAGCAGCAAAAGATTGGCCGCAAAGCTACGCGGACAAGTACTATCTCGGCCTGCCTTTGGTGCGCAGCAGTTGTTTGTTTTTTTCCTTGATCAAACGGACTTATCGCTGACCTTGCTACAGGATCTTCCTAATCTGCGACGAGCAACGTCCTCTTTAGGTGCCGTGGAAAATGCATTGACCTTTTTCGAAAAGTTGCAGCTCCCATCTGGGCATTGGGGATGTGAAAGTGGCGGCGCTATGACATTTTGTGCGGGCATAGTCATTGCCTGGTATGTCACAGAAACCGTAATCCCCGACCATGTTGCAACAGAACTGCAGGCATATCTTGCTGCTAGAGTCAACCCACAAGATGGAGGGTGGGGTATTCATACCACCGGAGACAGCAATATTTGCGGCACGACCTTGAATTACATTGTCATGAGAATTGCCGGCATGTCTCCAGATCACCCTATTCTTATTCGAGCGAGAGAGTTTGTTCACTCTCAAGGAGGTGCCATATACTCATCGTGCTGGGGGAAGGTCTGGATGGCCATCTTAGGCATTGTGGACTGGGATATTGTCCACCCAATGCCTGCAGAACTCTGGCTGCTCCCTGACTGGATGCCGCTCCACCCACGGAGGTTTTTCGCCGAGATGAGGCTGCCCGGTCAGTCAATGTCCTACCTGTATTCGAAGAGGTGGAGATGCAAAGAGACAGATCTTGTCAAGTCGCTCAGAAAAGAACTTCTTGCTCAGCCATATGGAGATATCGACTGGAAACGACACAGGACAACTCTCTCAAAGGAGGATTACAAACACTACAGGTCATGGTTCGCTGATGGCGTAAACTGGGCATACGTCAATATTTGGAAACCCTATTTGCTACCAAAGTCTATCAAATCCAGGGCAGAGGCCTGGCTGAGCGAGCTGATTGATATACAAGCAAGCAATACGTATCATGGTGGTATTGCCGCAACCGACCAGCCAATGTCGACCATTATATCCTTCTTCCGGGACGGCGCGAAGTCTGTGTCCTTGACTAAATATGTCGATAAAATACAAGAATTTCTTTGGATGACTGGAGATGGCATGCAAATCAACGCTACCAACGGCAGTCAGTCCTGGGACACTGCATTCATTGTTCAAGGCATATGTGCAGCCGGCCTACATCGAGATGAACGCTGGAGGGAGATGTGTGTGAAAGCCTTGCAGTTCTTCGAAAAGCAGCAAATCAGAGAAGACTGCCCCGAACAAGAAAAGTACTATCGCCAACGACGCAAGGGTTGTTGGGCTTTCAGCAATAAGTATCAAGGTTACGGTGTTAGTGACTGTACGGCCGAGGCGATTAAGGCTGTAATCAACCTCCAAAATACTGTACATTATCCTGTCCTGTTGGAAGATGAGCGAATATTTGATGCTGTGGACTCTCTACTTCTGTATCAGAATAGCACCGGGGGCGTCTCTGCCTTTGAGGCACGACAAGGCAGCACATATCTTGAGCTTCTCAACCCTTCAGAAATTTTTGCCGATCTCATGGTCGAGTCCGACTTCCCAGAGTGTACGTCGTCATGCGTCACGGCGTTGACCCTATTCAGAGAACACTGGCCACATTACAGGACCCGAGACATCGAAAACTTTATACAGCGTGGAGTGCGGTGGATCAAATCCGACCAGCGAGCTGATGGTTCGTGGTATGGATTTTGGGGTATTTGCTATACCTATGGTGCCATGTTCGGCTTGGAGGCGCTGGCTGCTGTGGGTGAGACCTATGGGAACAGTTCAGCTGCCCGAGCAGCCTGCGACTTCCTCATCTCGAAGCAGCGAGAAGATGGAGGATGGTCGGAAAGCATACAAGTGCGTCATTAGTTATAAAGGAGAAGTCCATGACACTGGATATGCTAACGAAAATTCCCAGGGTTGCGAACACAAAAGATATATAGAAGATCCACAGGGCTCACTTGTTGTTCAGACAGCTTGGGCGCTCATCGCCTTGATGGCGGGCGAGTACCCAGCCGTGGAGCCGATAAAACGTGGCGCCCAATTTCTCATGAGCCGACAACAAAATAATGGCGAATGGCTGGAGGAGGCGATTCCAGGCGTCTTCCACCATTTTTGTTCATTTTCATATCCCAATTACAAGTTTTCCTTTACTATCCGTGCTCTAGGTAACTTTGCGACAAGGTACCCGGAAGAAAAGATTCCGGCACAGGCCTAGGGGAACGGATACAAGTATGGCAGAACTGGCCAAGTCTTTCCCAGGGCGCTCAGCCACTGTGACAAGAGGAAGATTTTCCTCTTCTCCGATACTTCCTGACACTCGCTTACTTTGAGAGGGGTTGCGTATTTAGTTTCAAAATGTTTCATTAATACTTGGCAGAGTGCTGTTCTAGTCGTCTGGGTACATTTTGTGCAGAGGATCCGCGAAACTATTGCTCTTAACCATTCCGCTGTCACGTTTTGAAACTTATTATTAACCAAGATTTTCCCTTGAATTAACTGTTCTTATTCTATCTTGCAGATGGGTTCATGTCATTTTCTTTGCTGTGGAGGCTCCCTACAATCTCTGATATATATAATTTTCTGACATCCAACAATTACATCAAGTCTCCTTGTTCAATCAACGGAGGTAGCATTATCCTCCATCCACAGTCGTTCTCATTCCTATCAGACGTGTGGTGTTGCTAGAGGAAGCATAGCTTGTATTGTGATAGCTAAACCCAAAAAATAAGCTAGAAGCTCACACAGACTTGTCCAGAAAAACACCTAAAGTAACAGCGAGGAACAATGTCGGGTTGCCCATGTTGCACTTCCAAAGCTGGCCGTTTGTGCCTGCTCGATGGCAGCCAATGGCATCCTCCATTGCCGTCATAACACAAGGCAGTTAGTTTCTCTTTAGTATCATCTACCCATTCCCATTCGCTCAATTATCTCCTTCCACTTATGGCGAATCGTCGACATACGCTTTCACTCAAATAACAGCCTGTCGAGTTTTCTCTACTTGGCAGTAAATGAACCACTAGCAGCTGAACATCCGGTATATTTCAGCTCGAAGGGCGTTCTACTCCGTCAGAAAGAAGAGCATAAATCACTTCTAATTTCTTAAATGGCGGAGCCTGTTCTCAGGTCGTGCCCCTCTAACCTCGCCGCTGAGTCGGTTCTATGTGCGTGTCTAATCCCGCCTCACCACGCACGTCATGCCCGCTAGCTCTTGCTTTCTCCCTCTTCCTTAGTTCAAATAGCCCAGTGGTCATTCTGCCACTACCACACATAAAACCCCACTGCAAATATCTATCACAGTGCTGGACCTCTGGGCTGTCAGACAGTTGCGCCCATAGGTTTGAGGTGGCTCTATAAGTTGTTCCCCCCGCCTGCAAGTGTGTTGCCGCAACCAAAGAAGCCGTCGCAAAGCCTTTCTGCCCCAGCGATATATAAAACATTTTAAGAATGGGATGACTGTTACTCATTCAATTTCAGTAGGTAAAAGTGCAGCACAACCCCTTCCACCACAATCAAAGGTTGTGTTCGTCCTGGGAGTAGTACCCCGCGGACGGCCTGGAAACCGGCATCCGTTTCCTCTGCGGCCCGACGCCATTCCACAAAACCAATGGTACCACACGGGGCGAGCTTCAGAACGCACACGAGCATGGACCTGAATTCCGACGACTCCTCCGAATCACGCGTGGTGGAACTCCAGCACGGCTAGTTGTTATTCTTCTCAGACAGACTGATCCAGGCCATGCAATGAGGTTCGCCG